CGACCGCCTTACACTATTTAATTAAAGTGTAATTTGAGCATATCAAATTTTGGCGCCGTTGCCGGGGAATAGGGTTTTGAAATTACTAATTAGTGTGTGCTTTACTTTACGTCTTATTCTATTCCATCACACTTTGTTTGTTTTGCTTGGTGTTGATAGGAAGACATGGCCGAATATGAGGAAGATATGGAAAAAATCCTTTTGCGGACATAGATGAGTACATTGAGGATACAAATGCCATTCTACCTCCGGTTGTTGGTGCTTCAACTTTCAAAGTGGAACATGGTCTAATCCTAATGCTCAAAGCGGAGGGAGTTTTCAGGAATTCCGCTGTTGATGATCCAACACAACACCTTAGGAACTTTTTCGGTGTACGTGCTATGCATAAGCAGAACAATGTCTCAGATGATGCCCTAATGTTGAGGGTGTTCAAGTACTCACTAGCTGGAGACGCAAGGAGGTGGCTTCAAAACTTGCCACGAAATTCCATTCGTTCTTGGCCTGAACTTGTCCGAGCATTTTTAGCTAAATGGTTCCCACAAAGCAAGAAGTCTGAGCTTCGGGATAAAATTTTCTTCTTCAAGCAACAGCCAGGGGAACATCTACATGAGGGCATGGGATCGATTCAAGTTATATTTGGTGAGGTCTCCCAATCATGGTTTTCCGGACTCCATCTTGTTGGAGAAATTCTACATGGGTTTGGATCCTATGAACCAATCTATAGCCAAGAATGCAGCTGACGAATCTTTTATGGACAAATCATTCGCAAGGGTCACACAGATACTTGACAAAATGGCAAAACATAATCAAGCTTGGCACTGCAGAGGACACCACAGGTGGAATTGCATATGGTTCTCCTTCCTTGACCACCATGATCAAGGAAAATCAAGAGAGAGATCAAGTGATCGCAGGGCTCGCCACCAATGTCAATGTGTTGACGAAGATGTTCACAGAAAGCCAAACGAAGAAGGTAAATGTGGTGGAGGATGTGCAACCCATATCAAATGAAGACTTTGAGGAGGCAAACTATGTCAACAACTCTCAAGGAGGCTATCAAAGGCAACAATACCAAGGTCAAGGACAACAAAACCAATGGAGGCCTAACCCGCAAGGTCAAGGCAACCAACAGTGGCAAAATGACCAAGGTGGCTCAAATCAAGGAAATTGGAATAACAACAACAACTTCTCAAATCGGAGTTCAAACCCTTATGTTCCTCCAAAGGGTCAATATTCAAATCAAGGTTCCTCAAGTGATTCCAAGTTGGAAAGTATGCTTGAACGGGTATTACAAAATCAAGAGAAGTCCGACACTTCTATGAGGAATATGACCGAGCTTGTTGGCTCTCATACCGCATCTATTCAAAAATTGGAGATGCAAATGAGAGACCTCTCTAGGGAACAAAATCCGAAGCAAAAAGGGACACTTCCAAGTGACACAATTGCGAACCCAAAGGGTAGTGCGAGTGGTCCAACTTCTCACATCATGGCAATTACTACTCGGAGTGGGAAGGAACTACAAGGAGAGAACGAACAAGTGGTTGAAGTAGAAGAGTCCGAGCAAGAGGTTGGGGTTGAAGAGCCAAGGGTTGTTGAAGTTGAAAAGGTTCCTGAAGAGTTGAAAGTTGAAGAAGTGAATCGGGAAGAGGTAAAGGAAAAGGTAAAAGAGACACCAAAAGCTCTACACCTATTCCTAGACCTCTTCCTCCTTTTCCTCAAAGACTTGCGAGGAAGGTTGATGATAGCAAACTCGAAAAATTCTATGACATTCTCAAGCAGTTATGGGTGAATATTCCATTTGTGGAAGCATTTCAAGAGATGTCGGGTTTTGCTAAATATTTGAAAGACTTGATTACCAAGAAGAAAACCACCAAGAATGAAGTGGTGAATGTGACTCACCGGGTTAGTTCCATCATTGCAACATCCACCGTTCAAAAGAAAGAAGACCCGGGAGCTTTCACTATTCCATGTACTATTGGGGTACATGATTTTGCAAGATCCCTTTGTGATAATGGGGCTAGCATCAACTTATGCCTCTTGCCATTTACAAGCAAGCAGGTTTAGGTATGCCAAGGCCCACAAGTATGATATTGCAAATGGCCAATCGTTCCATTAAGAGACCGGTGGAAATTGTTGATGATGTGCTTGTTAAAGTGGGAAAGTTTCATTTTACCCGCCGATTTCGTAATCCTTGATTGTGCGGTTGATAAAGAGATCCCTATCATTTTGTGGAGACCATTCCTTGCCACAGGAAGAGCACTACTGGATTCGGAACGGAATGAGATCAAGTTCCGTGTGAATGATGAAGAGGTTACATTCCAAGCTAGCAAGGGTATGAAACTACCACATGAATATGAAAGCATCTTGGTGATTAATGTTGTTGATGAAGTGGAAGATGCGGTTGAAATTAAGATGGAAGAACAATGCCTCGGTGAGGCGTTGGCGGCTATTTTGGTGAACTTTGATGGTGAAGATATGGAAGGATATATGGAGTCAGTCAATGCATTGGAGGGGCTTGGGTCCTACACTTATGCTCTGGCAAAGCTCTCTCTCGACTTGGAGAATAGAGTCACTCCTCCCACAAAGCCTTCTATTATTGAGCCACCGCAACTAGAGCTCAAACCACTTCCACCACACTTAAGGTATAAATTTCTTGTCTCAAATGATACTCTACCGGTAATCGTTTCTTCTTTGTTGAATGATGTGCAGGTAGAACAATTGTTGGATGTCTTGAAGGCGCATAGGCAAGCTATTGGATGGACAATTGCGGACATCCGAGGGATTCCTGCCGGAATTTGCGAACACAAGATCCAATTGGAGAATGAAACTAAACCAAGTGTGGAGAATCAACGACGGTTGAAATCGTCCATGAAAGAGGTGGTAAAGAAAGAAATCATCAAGTGGTTGGATGCCGGGGTAGTCTACCCCATTGCCGATAGTTCTTGGGTGAGCCCGGTGCAATGTGTGCCGAAAAAGGGAGGCATGACCGTAATTGAAAATGATAAAAATGAGCTCATCCCAACAAGAACGGTGACCGGATGGAGGGTGTGTATGGATTATCAGAAGCTCAACAATGCCACATGCAAAACCATTTCCCTATGCCTTTTATTGATCAAATGCTTGATCGGCTAGCGGGAAGGTCATTCTATTGCTTTCTTGATGGATATTCCGGTTACAACCAAATCAACATAGCATTGGAGGACCAAAAGAAGACAACATTCACTTGCCCTTATGGAACTTTTGCCTTTAGCCGGAAGCCGTTTGGTTTGTGCAACACCCCGGCTACTTTTCAAAGATGCATGATGTCCATCTTCTCCGACATGGTGGAGGATTTTCTAGAGGTTTTCATGGACGATTTTTCGGTGGTAGGTGACTCTTTTGAGCATTGTCTTAACAATCTTAGACAAGTGCTCAAGAGATGTGAGGAGACCAACCTTGTGCTTAACTGGGAGAAATGCCATTTCATGGTGGACGAAGGCATTGTGTTGGGGAATAAAATTTTGAAACATGGCATAGAGGTTGACCGAGCAAAAATCGAGATCATTTCCAAGATTCCTCCACCTACCTCAGTTAAAGGTGTCCGAAGTTTCTTGGGGCATGCCGGATTTTATAGGCGTTTCATCAAGGATTTTTCCAAGATTGCAAATCCTACGTGCAAACTCCTTGAGAAAGATGCAAATTTTGTGTTTGACGAGAAATGCCTCAAAGCCTTTGAGGAATTGAAGCAAAAGCTCACCACGGCACCTATTATTGTCACACCCAATTGGTCTCTTCCATTCGAACTCATGTGTGCGCCAGTGGTGTAGCTATTGGAGCAGTGCTTGGCCAACATCACAACAAGGTTCTTCGCCCGGTCTATTATGCAAGCAAGACACTCAATGGAGTGCAAATAAATTACACGGTGACTGAGCAAGAGCTTCTTGCCATTGTCTATACCTTTGAGAAATTTCGGGCTTATTTGTTGGGATCCAAGGTGATAGTGTACACAGACCATGCTGCTCTTCGCTATCTCATGGAAAAGAAGGATGCAAACCCTAGGTTGATTCGGTGGGTCTTGTTGTTGCAAGAATTTGACTTCGAGGTCAAGGATCGCAAGGGAACCGAAAATCAAGTAGCGGATCATTTATCAAGGCTTGAAGAGGTAGGGAGACCAAAGGAAGATCTTGATATCAACGATGCTTTCCCGGACGAACACATATTGGCATTATCTAGCACTTTTGCTCCTTGGCATGCCGATTTTGCTAACTACTTGGTTAGTGACCTTATTCCGGATGGATTGGAATCCTATCAAAAGAAGAAGTTTTTGAGATATTGTCGGCAATACTATTGGCAAAAACCATTCTTGTTCCGTGTTTGTGCTGATAACGTCATCCGAAGGTGTGTTCCAGAAGAGGAGATTATGCCAATTCTAAAGGCATGCCATGACTCACTGGTTGGGGGTCACCATGGGGGAAATCGAACGGTGTCTAAGGTGCTTGAATGTGGTTATTATTGGCCGTCGATTTATCATGATGCCAATCAAATGGTCAAGGCTTGTGACTAATGTCAAAGGCAAGGATCAATCTCCAAAAGGCATGAAATGCCAATGCACTTTGTGATGGAGATAGAGATCTTTGATGTATGGGGAATTGATTTTATGGGCCTCTTTGTAAGCTCGTGTGGTATGAAATACATCTTGGTAGCTGTGGACTATGTGTCCAAATGGGTTGAAGCAATTGCCTTACCAAACAATGAGCAAGGAGTGTGACCACGTTCTTAAAGAAAAACATATTCACGCGGTTTGGCACTCCTAGAGCCATTCTTAGTGATGGAGGGTCTCATTTCTGTAACAAGGCTTTCACGGGGCTACTAGAGAAATATGGCGTCAAGAATAAGGTAGCCACACCTTATCATCCTCAATCAAGTGGCCAAGTTGAAGTTTCCAACCGGGAGATCAAGAATATTCTAGCAAAGATTGCCAATGCAAACAGGACCGACTGGTCAAGGAAGCTAGATGACGCATTATGGGCATACCGCACGACGTACAAAACTCCTGTTGCACTTCTCCTTATCGGTTAGTCTTCAGCAAAGCTTGTCATCTACCAGTAGAACTGGAGCACAAAGCCATGTGGGCATTAAAAAGGTTGAACTTGGAGTGGGCTGAAGCTGCAAATTTGAGGTTAACACAACTCAATGAAATGGAGGAATTCCGTTTCCATGCATATGAAAGTTCAGCTGTGTACAAAGAAAGGATGAAGTTCGTCCACGACAAAAAGATCTTGAAAAGGGAGTTCAAGTTAGGTGACTTGGTTTTGCTCTTCAACTCAAGGCTCAAATTGTTTTCGGGCAAGCTCAAATCAAAATGGTCCGGTCTGTTCAAGATGGTCAATGTCTCTCCTTTTGGAGCTGTGGAACTAGAATCGGAGGATGGGCTCCGAACCTTCAAAGTGAATGGCCAGCGAGTCAAGCACTACTTGGGCACAGATGGAGAAAAATACTTGGTGGAGCAGTTGGCTCTCAAAGATGGTCCGTGCCCGACCAATGAGTGAATCCAAAGAAACGCCAACTTCATCGTGCCGCGACATTAAATCAAGCGCTTCATGGGAGGTAACCCATGTGTGGTAACACCCTTTTTGTCCTTTAAAATTTTAATTTTTGTTAGATAGATTTAATTGAGCAATTTAAAGTGTGTGTTAGAGTGCAGGGGATTCAAAAGATCATAACACTGGGTACTATTGCATGAGAAAGGGAAGAAAAGTCGCCATGGGAAGTTTGCTACACATATGCGGTCGCATTTCAACTATGCAGACCGCATTGTGGTCGCAAACCCAGACAGTGTGTTTGGAAAAAATTGGTGGTAAGAATGCGGCAAGGAGGTGCACTTTGCGGACCGCACTTCCATTATGCGATCGCATAGTGCACCGCATTTTGTCCCTCAAGCAATTCAAATTGAATCGACCGCATAACACTTATGCGGTCACATAATGTGTTATGTGGTGACTTACCCATCGCAAATCTCCCAGGTAAGTCCCTCGCATCTCTTCAACATTCAAACAATTTCAAAACAAAAGGAAATAGGCAACACCTGTGAAATCATCTCCCAACTGTGCTCATTAATCCGTCACTGGTATGTTTTTCTTGTCCCGATTTCATCCTTGCAAGCTTTAGTTTCAATTTGTTTTTGTTTCTCCTGTTTTCTTTTTCTTTTTTTGTGTGTTTTGTAGTTGGGTATCTGTTGTGGATACCCAATTTTTCTCTATGTAATTTTTATATACAAAATACTTTCAAAAATAGCATATATAAGCATACCTAAGTGTTTTGGTATTTTTCCTAATTTTTAAGATTTTTTTAAATCGACTTATTGTCCATTTTAGCAATAAAAAAAGTCAGTAATTATTCCAAAGTTTATCGTTTTGGTGAATGACCTATTTTATTCTCATATTTCCACCAAAACATAGCTAAGGTGATTTTTGTATATTTTTACAAATTTATTTGGTATTTAGTAGACTAAATTGCATGTAATTGCAATTGTAGCCTACTTTAAGATTAATAGCATTTTATAATTATAAAATTGGGTCCAGTATTTTTAAATTAATATTTATACACTATTAATTGTTTCAGTATTTTTAATTTACTTTTAAAATCAGCTTTACTATTTTTTATAAATAAAAAGGGAAAATTGGCTATTTAATATCTAGCCCCATTTCTATTTCAATTATAGCCCTATTTCATTTCAATTTTGGCCCCTAAATTGACCCAATTCAACCCAATTAATCAGCCCAATTTCAGTCTGGACCCAACCCACGACCCAATTCCAAACGATCCAACCCGTTCCCCACCTACCCGTCTAAATCTGGACCATTGATCACTCAAGATCAACGGCCAAAACTCACCCTTCCATAATTAAACCTAACAACCTACCCTAATCCCTCTCATTCTCACCGGACCCGCCGCCCTGAAATCCCAAAACACTCTCAAATCCTCTCAACAACTCTCCGAAACCCTAGCCTCCTCCCACCTTCCTTCACGGGATTTTCACCGGAATCCATGGCTTCCCAGGCCATGGATGGTCTCTACCCACCCTCTCCACCATTAGACCTTGATTGTTCGCGGTCTGGAAGGCTGAATTCGATGGTTCTCCCTCCGATCTTCGATTCCATGGCTTCTCCGGCCATGCTCCCGCACATTCGAGACTCAGGAGCCTGATTCTTGACCTCTCCGACTCAAGATTGGAACTGTCTCCAAGCCTTTCTCATTTCTAGGGTTTCTCCGAAACCCTAAGTCATTCGAGGTTCTTTCACCGTTATTTGTTTAGATCTATACTGTGTCTATGCTTTTCTTGCCATCTAGAGTGTTTTCCCCAAAAGTTTTTGTCTAAATCGTTTCTCTCCGATTTTAGTGTTTCTAAAAGGATTTTTGGAAAAAAAAAATCTTTCTGAATCTTTTTCTTCTTTGCTTTATGTGTGTTTGTTTATACCCTGCTCGTATGATTTCTTTTATTTTATGCATATATTGTCTTTTACCTCTTCTTTTCTACTCCTGCTATGTTTTCACTACTCTTCTGCTATGTGTGCCTACCGTTTGATTTTTTGGACTCTGTTCATGTTCTTACATGCTTCGTCTACTTGTGTTCCAGTTTGTATTATTTCCTTCTTCTGAACTCGTTTAGACTCTGAGTTTTCTCAAATATGTTCTTCATGATTTTTCTTCCTTTGTCGTTCAAGCATGCTATCATATCTGTTTTTGTTGAGACTCTGAAACAAATGGTTTGCTTTCCATGTCTGATTCAATTATGAAACCCTAGGATTTGGGGGTTTCCTTTGACGACTTTGATTTTTGTGTTCGAGTCAGGGTTCCACATTGAGACTCTGGACTTTCAGACTCATTATGAGTCTGCAGATTGAACCTGCATCTCCTTGCTTATGATTCTGATTTTCTTGTTAAATTCTCTTTTAAATAACTTAACAGTCTCTCCTTGATTTACATATTTGTGTGTTTATATATGAGAACTCTTCTTTCAAAAAAAAGTCTTTGCCAACTACTGATTGATCCCGAATTCCTTTAATTGTGTTCACTTGATTGTTACTGGTTTTCCCTAATTGGACCTTTCTTTACCCCTTTTCCTGACTTGATTCATTCAAGTACAAGTCTGAAATTTTAATTTTTACTGGTTGATTCCCTTTTCTTTTTTTTACAAACCGTGTACTATTAGTTTGTTGCCTTAAATAGCTTCTATGTACTTACCCTTTATTATACTACTGGGAAAATATTTTTTCAAAATCCCTTTCCATAATTGTTTTTACCCGTTTGAAATCAGAATCCCTTAACTAAAGGGAGATTGATTACAATGTTATTTCCTTACCTTTTTCTTGCTTATTTGCTGCATTATAAAAGGGGCTCGACCCTTCTGCATGGAAACAAGTTTCAAGCTCTGAAAAAAGAACTTTACAACTCTAGAACTTTGAACTTCTAAATCCCAAAAGTTCAATGCTCATACTCTCACACACCCACTTTCAGTCACAATACTCTTGCAAACTCTCTACTCTCTGCTGAGACTTTTGTACTGCTTTGCTTGCAACTTGGCTTTTCAAGACTGCTGTTTTACTTACCTGTTTTTCCTGAAATTGGTATGTCTCCATTTGATTTCAGTTCCTTCACTATGTGTTTACTTTACAGTTGTCTTATTCCTGTCTACTTTGCAGTTCATATTCTGTATTAAACATGTTACTTTCTTTTATGTTCATTGTCTGTTATGAATCCCCCATACCCCCATTCCCTTTTGTGTGCTGAGTTAAAGTCATGGCCTGGCAGTATCCAAATTGCTGCCCAGGTCTGAACCTGACCTTCAATAGGTCCTAACTTTCAAATTTAAGCTGACAGGCTGGTCAGGGGTGTGCCAGTATCCTAGTTGCTGGGCATGACCACTAGTTTGTTATGGCCTTCCCTGATTCCCCCTCTATTACACTTACACTTATTCTTAGACTCTAAGTTCTGGCCCCCTCCTATGAGCCTTGCCTTGGGGACCTTGAATTCCCTATGAACTTGGACATTTGAGGGCTGGCCATTCCATACTGCACCATAATCTGATCCTGCAAATGTAATTGGGTGTAAGCACTGCCTGGAGTTCATGAAGCTCCTTGGAACTCTGACACACCCAAATGAGAAAGGCTTTGGAAATCTGATCTTTGGAAGTTGGTTTATTTCATGTTTCAGACTAGGAGTCTGAATTAGGATCTCCTTTGTTGGAATTTTAATCTCTGATGTAATTTTATTTACTTTTCTGGATTCATTGAAGTTGTAATAATTTTGTAATACTTATGGGGTGTATAGTAAACAATGGGGGAGGGTCTCTCATGTTATGTATATGGGGTAGATATCATGTTTTAGGTCTTTATTTTCCGCAACCACAACACTTTCGTTTATGTTTCTACATATAGAGATCCTGCCTATAGATTTTTTCCATATAGATATCCTGCCTATAGTTTATTTCATTTCAGCATACAGTAGCTATGCCTATAAGATTCTGCATTTCAACATATAGAAGCCATGCCTATAAGTTTCTGCATTTCTGCAGATGCATATGACATTTGGCAAAACAATCCATAGGCTAAGGAATAATCAATTGCATCCTAGATACCATGCTCATAGGATTCCTACACTTGCACAACCGTTTTAAAATCAGTAACGCTTAGAATTCATGCCTATAGGAGCAGTCGTTTAAATCTGATTCATCCGCAAGTCTGAAATCAGTAATAATATTATTAACATCTGCGGAATTGGTTCATCTATAAAATCAATAATCCTCCCTTAAAATCAGTATGTATCACCTTGTTAGACATCATGCCTATAGGTCTCACCTAGGCAAACTATTAGGCAATCAATTAATTATACCAGTCTTTAATAATCACAACTAGCAGGCAGGCCTAATTTGGACTTCTTATCTGAAAATATGTAATAAATCAGCCACCCTCCCCCCTTTTCATTTAAGTTTAATTAAAGACCTAACCAGTACTTGCAAGTCATGCTAAACAATTTTTGTTTTGAATGAGGAGGCCTCTTTGAGCCTTAACTGCTATATGTTTTCCCCTTAATTGCTCTTATGTGTTTTGTTTGTCGCACTAGATTTTGGCCTTTTAAACTTCAAAAACCAATATCCCTTCCCTTTAGGAATAGTAGTCCCAACTGCCTCCGGGACTGATAGGATTGGGGAGGGTAGTAGCATGCAATAAGTAACGAGACTATTCCACGTTTTAGTACCTTAACGGGGTGGGAAAGGGTAGACATGGATATGATGATCACGCGATAACACCACGCGTATAATTGGTTACCGGTTGTTGCGTGGGTGATCCATGTTATTTATAAGCCTAGGACCCCCTCCCTCTTTATGTGCTTACGTTTTTTTTAATTTTCTTTAAACTGTCAGTTTCCAGCTCTTTTAAACCTTGTATTTCGCTCTAATCATTTAAAACCTCTTTAAATTTCCAGCACTGTTTCCTCTTCCAAATTTCCGCCCATTTCATCTCTTTGTTTGACTAGTTGCATCAGTTAT